GAAACAGCTGCAGTGCCAGACCACTGGTGTCTCTGTGGTAAAGGGGTAAGTGGTGGATAAATAACCCATGATTCCACAACAGCCCACCTTACTGCAGGCAAAACCTGAATTTTTGGGAGATTTGTTGAGACTGCAGAGTCTATTTACAAAATCCTGCCCTGCCAAGGAAGGAGGTGGATATAAAAGGCCATTATGGAGCCGTGGGAAAGCCAGAATGAGTGAGTGGGTGACTGATTTAAATATTTTGGATAAACTGAGATGATTCTAAATGAAAAACGGAGTTACAAACCATTGGAGATCTGTCCCATATACTCTTGTTGTAGATTAGTTTTATTTAAGCACACATATCTTTATAAAAAATGCAATGAGCAATCTCTTTTTCGTAAAAAGGGTTTATTAACAAATATCAATAATGCCACTGAAGAGGCAGATTCAGCAGTCTTTTCACAGAAAAAAATCTCATAGGTTCAGGGAAATGCTGGAAGAGTGTGGAGGCTTGGATGAAGAAGAGTCCTAGGGAGGAGTTCCAGAAGGTCATGGGGAGTGTCCAGCATCCATCAGGGCGAGGCGTTTTCCTGTGTTGCTGCTTGCAGGCAGTGGTGCCTTTCTTCCTGGCATGGTGTTGCTTAACTTCCAAACCTTTTAAATTCTTTGCCGAGGATTTATCCTGCCTTAATCTCATTCCAATGCTTGTGCTTCCTAAGTATGTTGTAAATGCTTCAAGCTCTGTAGGTGTTTTATGGGAGGACAGAAGTCTCCAGCTTCTGGGAGTAATCTGTGACTTGGGGATCCCAGGTTTGTCCTGGAGGAGGGACATACAACTGTCTGAAGTTTTAAAAAGCCCAATGACTAATCCAAGATGAGCTTTTTTTCCCTCCTCTCCAGATTGTTCATTTGAAAACATTTTTTTCTAGTTTTCCTTTACATCTTCTCAGGGTTGGAAATACGTGGAATTTTTTTCTCTCTCCAAAGTGTTTGTGGGATAAGAAAACAGCCTGTTAGCTAGTTGGGTTTGTTCCAAGCTGTCTGTTTACTTACCTGTGCTCAAGTCAGGAGCAAAAGGTGAGGATTCCATCTGTAAATGTTTTGGATACGAAGGTGTCTGCACTGAAGGATTTTGCTTCTGGCCGGCTTTAGCTGGATGGAATTATCCATAATATCCCTTGTGCACTGGAAGTATCAGTCTGTTAATTTTTCTGTGTACTGACACTCTGTGAACACTGTGTGAGACTCCATTAGGAAAAGTCCAATATTGAATTGTGAAATATTCCTCTGTGAATGCATTGGTGTAATTTGTGCTGGGACAGTGACTGCAGGAGTGGCAGTCAGGGTTGGAAAATGAATCCTGTGATGGTGAAAGAGCTGGAGAACATTGCAGGGGAAGCTCTACCCCTTTTCCTGGGAAATCAGCACAACTGGGATTAGACAGCAGCCAGTGTGGGTGATGCTGTGTTGGGTGTCAGCTACGGACACACAAATGATGGGTAGAACATCTAGAAGCAACTGTAACTAAAATTACTTGAACTTTTCATTTTTAAACTCCTTCCACTTCCTTCCAATTTGGGAATGACATTTTTCAAGTCTGAACTCTTCTCAAAAGTATTTTTGGAAGGTCTGAACAAAAACAGTTTAACCATCTTTGTGTAAAATGACTGCTAGGAAAGTAGTCAGCTCTGACACATTTTTGGCAGGGAGCTATTGAACAGCTTTAGGGCCTTGTTGGAAGTGTCCAAAAGTGTTTTTCAAATCATCATATAACTATTATTGGTTATAATAATGCTTAGAGACCCCGCCCAGCCCTCGGAGACTGTGAGCAAGGCAAGCAGCAGTGAAAAGCAAGTCCTCAAGGACGAGCAGGAGAACTGTCCAGCAACAACTGGTGCACATTTGCATGTCCGGGGTGAGCAGGACACAGCAGTGACAATGTGACCCAGCAGTGACAACGTGACCCAGCAGTGACAACGTGACCCAGCAGTGACAGCGTTACTGAGCTGGCAAACCAGCAAACGTGCAAATGGAAGTGTTTGTTTTGGGGCAGTTGTTGTCCTCACCGCTGATGGTGACAGCCCAGGAGCTGGGAAGTACTTGGCATTTGAGCAGTGAGGTGGACTGTCTAAAAGTAAAGTTTCAAGCTTGCCAGGAGCTGGGAATAATTACGTAGCACTTCCCACTCTCGTTTTGATCTCGTTACACAAGCGTGAGCGAATGTGAAATTAGATCCTCTCCTTATAGAAACGTTCCACGTCAGTTCCACTTGATCCGTTCTTGGTTCCCTTATTAGGGCTCCGTTTGTCCCCGACTTCTGAAGCTTGGCTCTGTTAAACTGTTCCCCGTGGCCATACCTGGTGAAGTGCCCTTTCCTGCCGGTGCCTGTGCAGTAAAGCTGTGCCTCCCGAGGGCACAAAGGTGGAGGTGTTTCCCATTTGTGGAGCCGTTCATCTCACATCCGTGCTTTCCATGGCACGCCACGATCAAAGGCTATGAAATGCTGCTCTGGAGAAACGCTGGTGGTGCTGAGGCAAATGGACACTTTTTCCTGAAGCATTTTGATTTAAAAGTTTCTGGTCAGTTTTCAGTTAATTGTTTATTTCATGGAAAGAAATTAATTACAACTTGTAAAAACCTAACATCATATGACCTTTCAACTGAATTAGAAGAAGAAAAGCCTTAATTTATTGCTATCTTTCCCCCAAGCTGTTCTTTTTTAGTTGCATTTAAATAGAATATATTTGGGTATGAAAGTTGACAGCTCCTTTTTCATGGCCTTTTACTGTATTTTTGCTGTGGCTGGTCAGATGCTTTTATCTAAAGCTTTGTTCTTTGCGGTGGAAAAAAATTCCAGCGGATTTAAGAGAGTGATAGAGTTTTCAGAGAAAATGAAATTTTCACAGAGTACTTGGGGCTGGTCGGGAAATGGGATTTCATGCTGGCAAAACTCCGCGCTTTGTTGGAGCTCTTGTTGGCAGTGGTGGGATTTGGGGTTCATCCCACAGCTCAGCCAACATTCCCACCCTTCTGTGCTTCCCGCTGTGTCACAGGGACTCTTGGGAGTGGGTGTGGTGGGTCCCGAGTAGAGCCTGGACCTGTGGGAGCAGCTCAGGTGTGATTCCCACGCCAGGACTTTGGCAAGGGAGGAGCTGGGCTGCCCTGGCTGGGTCATCCTGGGACCCAGCTGGATGGAACCATGGGAGGCTGGAGATACCTGGGAGATGGATCAGCTGAAAGAACGTCTCTGAATGCTGTTTGGGTGGGGAAGCCACTCGGTGTGGGGAAAAGGCAAAGCATGGCCCACGATGGAAAGGAGCAGGAGAACTTCTGTTGTGATCGAGGGACAGCTGGCAGCTGAAGGAAAGGATTAGCAATAAGAACAAAGGAGCAGTGTTTGATTTAACCATTCTTTGGCAACTCTTAAATTGGACTAAGAGCAGAAGGTAATCCTTGGCTAGTCTGGTCCTGTAGCATTGGCAGGGAAGTGCTGGCTGGGACAGTGACGTGGGACAGGTAGGGCACAGGTTGTGCAGCTGCCTCTGCAGAGCCAGCCCTGCTTGTGGGGCTACAGCCTAGTGATCTGCCAGCGCTGGCATTAAGTACTTTAATTTTTCCTCTCAAGAATGAGACATCTTCTTTAATCCCACGTACTTATAAAATTGCAAAGTCGGAGGTAGCAAGGGCCCATTAGGCGAGGCAGCTCCTGTGCCCTCAGGGGATTGCTCAGGGGAACTCGGTGACTGAGAAACGGGGATTCAACCAATTACTCACCTCGTAGTCTTGGTTCATCACTCCTGCCACTGAGATCCGTCGTGTCATCTTTCTTTGCGAGCAGCATGAACGGATTATCAAGTTTCATTCTCAAATCATCTGCAAGGCAGATTTATGCAGAGCCTTTGTATCTCTAAGCAAATTAGGGAATGTGAGTCTCTCGCTACCACGCGGCCGAGCCCTTCCCTAAGGAAGGGCTATTAATAGCCCAGTCCTAGTTCCCGCGGGGGGCTCATCTCATGGCATGCGACCTCCATCTGGAGCGGGGAGCCGCGCCGGGGAGCGGTGCGGGGCTGGGAGTGCGGGAGCCGCGCCGAGGCGCGGGGTGCGGCTGTGAGTGCCGAGGCGGTGCCGGCGGGCGGTGATGTAATGCGAGCTGTGGAGACCGGCCCGGCGGGCGGATCGCGCTGATCCGCGGGCGGCTGCGCCCTCCCTGGGTCCCGCGGTGGGGGCGGTCCCTGAGCGCTCCCCGTGCAGGATGTGTGCGGTGCCGCGGTGTCCCGCAGGTGTGTCCCCGCCGCGGGGCGGTCCCTGAGCAGCTCCCCGTGCAGGATGTGTGCGGTGCCGCGGTGTCCCGCAGGTGTGTCCGTGGTGCGGGGCGGTCCCTGAGCGCTCCCCGTGCGGGATGTGTGCGGTACCGCGGTGTCCCGCAGGTGTGTCCCCGCCGCGGGGCGGTCCCTGAGCGCTCCCCGTGCGGGATGTGTGCGGTGCCGCGGTGTCCCGCAGGTGTGTCCCCGCCGCGGGGCGGTCCCGCGGCGCTGGCGGGCGGCGGGCGGCAGGTGGAGCCCGCGATCCGCCCGTGCCCGCTCCCGCACCGCCCCCCCGCACGTGGCGCGGCCCCGCTGAAAAGCCGCGAGCGGCCCCGCGCCCGGCACTGCCGCCCACAGCGCCCGAGCCGCTCCGATCCCTCCCGCTCCCGCCGCTCTCGCTCCCCCGCCGCCACGGGGCGCGGCATCCGCGCCTCGCCGCCCGCCCCGCCGCCCGCAGCCGCTGAGAACCGGCCCCGCGCATCCCCGCCGCGGGCACCGGCCGCTCGCGGCTGGCGCTGACCTGTTGAAAGAACCGCGCGTGTCTTGGGGATCCTTTGTCTCGAGGCTTCTTTCTATTTTTTTCCCATCTCGACGGGGGAAGTTTGCTCCCCAGACCGTGGCCCGGCTTCCTCCACACCCTTTCCTCCTCGTCTTCCTCCTGTTTTCCAGGATCCGCTGCGCGGGGCCAGAAGCGGTCTCCCCGCGCTGGAGCCGGGGGCACCCGCGGGCTCCGGGCTCGCCCTTTGCCCCGGCGGCGGCGGAGGGGCGGCCCCGGCAGCGCGGGGAGGCTCCGCGGCTGCCCCCGCGCCGCCACCATGGCCAAAGTGGCGGCGGAAAGTTGCGGGTCGGCGCCGGCCGAGGACTTGTCCAAGGTGTCGGACGAGGAGCTGCTCAAGTGGAGCAAGGAGGAGCTGATCCGCAGCCTCCGCCGCGCCGAGGCCGAGAAGATGAGCGCGATGCTGGACCACAGCAACCTCATCCGCGAGGTGAACCGCCGCCTCCAGCTCCACCTCGGCGAGATCCGCGGCTTGAAGGTAGAGCGGGGTGGGCAGGGTGGGACCCCTGAAGTTTGAGCCGTGTCTCTGCGGCCCCCCGCCCGTCCCGCCGGCAGCGGTCTCGTCAGGTGGATGCTCCGGGAGGAGCCGCTCCCGAGAACCGCAGGAAAAGTAGACGAGGGCTGGAGTGAATAGCCTTTGATGCTGCTTAAAAATCGAGTGTCCGGCTAAGAGATGAGCAGCTGTTCGGCAGGATGTGCAGCACAGCTGGGGTGTGCTCTGCCCCAGTGTTCTTTGGTTTGGTACGAGCACTAAAGTCTGGTCACCTCTGTGTTAGACTCCACTGGTTTGGAGTTCAATGATCCTGCCTGAAGTGCACGAGAAATAAGGGTGTGCAGAGCTGTAGATGTTCAAAAGGTTTTTTGTCCCCAGTTTCAGCTGCCTTAGCCTGGCAGGCAGGCAGGCTGCTGGAGGGAGTGGGTCATTTCCAGGATGCAGCGCAGGGGATGGCAGGGGATGGCAAACCCCTGGGCTCCGTTTTGGGGTGATCAGAACCAATCCCTAGTTTGTTGTCTGAAAAAGGCATCTGCTAATGCATCTCTGACTAACCATTTTCAATTGTATCCTTGTGCAGGCTGCACATCACAAGTCAGACCAGGTCTGTAATGGCTTATCCCTTCTAAATTTCACTCCTTGGTTGGGTGAGAAGCTTAGTCCTAATGTCTCCTTCCCACTTCTGAGGATTGGGAAGATAGTGTGACTGCTTACAGAGGATTACCTTGCTTGTGCATTATAGACCTGAAAAGTTACCTTAAAGCTGGCAGGACCACGAACATTTTTCTGTCTTGTTGCTTTTGAGAAAGGACGTTGTTTTTAGGGAATTCTTTCAGTGAGATTGGAGGGAAGGAGAGACAGATGCAGTGTGGGCTTTTGAATTATTACACGGAAGTGCATTAGAAGAGAGTTCTTCACTTGTAGAATGGCTTTAAATGATGGAATTACTGAGAAAGTGTCTTTGATCATAGTGTGGCATAAAATAAACAGCATGTGGGGGAAGACTCTTCCTGTCTCCCAAGTTTTTGTGTTCTGCAGAGTATGGGGGGGTGTGTCTCTTCTCTCTTTTTGACCATCCGTGGTGTCTGGGGGTAAAAAAGACCCATCCCTGATAGTATTTAGTAAGAATAAAGCTTAGGTTTCAAATGTAAGTTCAATTACAACAATAGTGTCTTTCTCCCAGTGCTGTGACATCATATGGATTTCTGCATCCTCCGGATAACTGACCAAACACACCAAGATGTGTAGGAAGTAGTGACACATTCCCCTCTCAATTCTGAACTCCTTAAGTCATGTTTAACTTCCTCCTTTTGTTCAGATGCCCCATCTGGAACTTTTGAACAGAATCTGGGAGAAGGAGGTTGTGAGCCCTGTGCTGGTGTCTGGACATCTCCCTCCTTTGTTGTGTGTGAAATACCAGGTCCCTGAGTCAGAATGCCCAGCTGGAAGGCTGCCTTCTGGCTGAGGAATTCTGCACTTCACAACTTTTTTATTCCACTGTGGGATCACTTCAAATATCTCTCACCAGCAGAGATTTTTAAGGACACCTTGTAGCCTTTTTTTCCATTGTCAAATACGGGTTGAAGTTGGTCAAGTTCAGAGTTATTCTGAGGCAAAGATCAGACAAACCCAGGCATTCCTGCATCCAAATCCAGTGGGGTTACAAAAGCTTCCTTTTCTTTGGAAACAGTGCTAAAATGGTCTTTCCATAAGGCCAAGCCTTTAACAATTGTGGCTAATCTCTCTTTGTGATATCATACATAAGAAGGAATGAATATGGAGCTGGGGGAAAGAGAAATATGGTCACAAGTCCAAACTAGGCGGGTAAAATACTGCAAATGTTTTCTTTGGCATTATTCTGCTACAGTAACACCCTGAACATTTTTCTTCAGAGCATTTGCCTCAGACTGTTCCTCGCTCAGAGAAGGGCATGGAATCATGTACTGCATTTTATTAGGAGGGAAAAATCTATTAAAGCAGATTATTTAATTTCAGAGTGGCTGAAGCAATCCCGATAAAGTGATGTCTGACAAGAGTTTTTAATGCAAATCTGGAACAACATCAAACAACCCCCTTTTTTTTTAAATCTCTAAAATGTTCATCTTTATATGTGACTATGCTTTGGGGAATAGGGAGTCTAGATGCGTAATAATTAATTATTTAAGTGAGAGTACAAGTTCTGATGTACCTTGCAGTTTTATTCAGGTGAATATTTCTCTGGGGAGCGAGATCATCAGGAGAGCACTTACGAGCTTTGCCCGGGTTGGGAGCTAAATTACTCTGATATTTAGCATGAAAATTAATTAAGCACCTGAAACTTTTATGCTGTGTCAGAAGTTAGTCTTTGAACACCTCAGACTAGCTCCAGGTCAGCTTTGGCTGGACAGCAGCTCTGTTTGAAGCACTGTGCTGTTACAATGTGCCAGATCTACACAAGCAATTATTTATGCCTCCCTTGAGTGCCTAAATATGATTTTGTGGCTTGTGTAAGGGTGATTGTATAACACCAACTCCTTTAGACACTTCTCTGCCATGATAATCTTTCTCTTGAAGGATATCAACCAGAAGCTGCAAGAGGATAACCAGGAGCTGAGGGACCTGTGCTGCTTCCTGGACGACGACCGACAGAAGGGCAAGAAGGTGTCCCGGGAGTGGCAGCGGCTGGGCAGGTACAGCGCCAGCGTGATGCACAAAGAGGTGGCCCTGTACCTGCAGAAGCTGAAGGAACTGGAGGTGAGACAGGAAGAAGTGGTCAAGGAGAACCTGGAGCTGAAGGAGCTGTGTGTGCTGCTGGATGAGGAGAAGGGCGGCGGGGCCGGGAGCCGGAGCTCCATCGACAGCCAGCTCAGCCTGTGCCAGCTGACGGCGCCCAGCGCCTACATCCGAGACGTGGGGGACGGCAGCAGCACCTCCAGCACGGGCAGCACAGACAGCCCCGACCACCACAAACACCACCCCAGCACCAGCCCCGAGCACCTGCAGAAGGCTCGGGGGGAAGGCAGCCCCGAGCACCAGAAGCACCGGAGCATCAGCCCCGAGCACCTGCAGAAGCCGCGCGGCTCCGGCAGCCCTGACCACCACCTGAAAGGGCTGAGCCCCGAGCACCACAAAGCCGTGGTCAAAGTCCCCGACCAACAAAAGCACAGCAGCAGCAGCCCAGAAACTATCCCAAAGCACGTGCTGAGTAGTAGCCCCGAACACTTTCCAAAGCAGAGGCCTGGTGGCAGCCCTGAGCACCAAAAGCACAGCGGTGGCAGCCCAGACCACCTCCAGAAGCACACGCCGAGCGGGAGTACAGAACACCTGCACAAGGTGAGGGGCACCAGCCCAGAGCACCTCAAACAGCACTATGGAGGCAGCCCCGAGCACCTCAAACACCTCAGCGGAGGCAGCAGGGAAGGGACCCTCAGGAGACAAGTGACAGAGGACCTGTCCCCTCACCACAGGAGTATTTACAACGGAATGAATGGTGGGTCAATGCTTCTGGTGAAAGCTCTCTTTGAAAATTCCTAAGGTAGTTCCAGTGCTATTTCAGGAGGAGGAGTGATGAAATGTTTCATTTCTTTGATGTGAAAGGAAAGGTAACGAGCCTGGTGTCAGCATTGTTCCTTTAGCAAGTGATTTAATTGGAGTAGCCCTGTTTGTCCATCCAGCACGTGTTGGCTAGATTGAAAAAGTAGGGGAAAAGTGCATTTTGAGTGCTGGTGCAAGACACCGAGGAGCAGCTCCTGGCCCCAGCCCTGCTCTGTGGTTGGTAGATGTAAACTGTTTGTCCCCAGATGGGTTTCTGTTTGCATCAGGGAGGAATTGCATTATGTTCTGTGTCCTGCCTGTATCTGAGTCAGCAGAGTGGAGCTGGATGTCTCCAGTTTCCTTTCCACCTTCCTCTAGCTTTAAAGATTTTAGAATTTCCTGTCTATTGATTGAAGGCTTCTTATATCCTTTTCCATAAGCTTTGGAGAAGACCCCAGGTGAAGAGTAGGGTCAATAGAAATGAATCTGATAGCTCCTAAAGCTTTTCAAAGCCTGGAGTTTGCATATTTTTAACTATAACAAATTAAAAATTAAGGAAGATCTGAAGGGGTTTCTTTGCTGTTGCTATTGCTGCCTTTTAGAAAGTTTTCCAATAAACATGCCAAGCTTTTAAGAGCTGCGTATCCTCACTGATTGGGATTAATTTCTATTCTTAGGATAGTCACAGTGTAAGTATTTTGTTACAAAGTTCACTGCTGTAGAAACAACTCTTTGTAGACTTAGCAGAATTTCTGTAGCCTGCTCCTTTTGTTTCCTCCATATGCTTTGAGCTGTTTCCATGAAGGAAATTAGTGTCCTAGTGGAAAACTCTTCTCCCAGACCCGAAGTGGTAAGTGTAGAGACTTCTCTCTTTGATTTTAAAATGATTAATAAGGTGAGTGCGTGACAAGTATGTGAAGATGTGTAACACAGCAATTGCTGAAGTCGGCCTTACACAACTTCCATTAAATACTGTATTCCTTCTCCATTTTCTGTTTAAAACTGACCTTACTGTAAGCACCAAGTGTGGAACCAGACCTCCTAAAAGCACCACGATGTTCCTCAGTCCATCACTGAGCCAGTAGAAAGGTGATCTAAGGTTTTAAGTGTGTATTTTTCAAACTCACACCCGGGTGAAGATATGGTTTTTCTGTTCCCAGCACGGTGGGTTTTTGGATTTTTCTGTTGTCCAAGTACCTTGTCAAGGCCCATGTTGCCAACAGTGCAGTGAGAGCAGTTGTTACTTTAATCCTGAGCTGACTGGCATCCTTTGTGCAGCATATTTCATCTGTCTACAGTTTGGACTCGGGCCACAAGGTGCTGGAGAGGGCAGCTGCTGCTCTGGGAGGCTGTTTATTGACTTTAATCACAGCTCTGCCTGTCCTACACTTTATATAATCACTTTTACAGCAAGTCCTCTTTGGTTTGACAACTCCTCTCACCAGTACCTTGTCAAACTTCTCTTTTTCCATATTTATACAATCTGATGCAAACTTGAGGTTTAACTCTGGCATTCATCTGACCTTGGTCAGTGGTAAAGCTCTTGACAGCTCTGCTGTGAGGAAGAGGCTTTCAACTTCAGGGAAATACTTGGTCTTCACAGCAAGGCTGAATCCTCCTGGGTGTTTGGGGGTTTGGTTTTGTGGGGAGCAGGTAAAATGGAAATGGACCAAGTGCTGGCCATTAGCACTGGCTATTGCTGTGCAAGTCATGTGTGAATCTTAATTTGCCTGTTCTGTGTCTGCCTGAACCTGCCAGCTGAGTGCAGGGGATGGAAATCCTGATCTTCTGCATCTGTGGTGAGGAGTGGGGAAACTGTGACAACCTGAGTCAGAAAGTGGCCTGGAAACGTGGCCCTCAGCTCTGATGAGAAATACAAAAGGACCATATTTTGGGTTCTTATCCCAAATCACATAGTAAGTATTCAATGTCCCCTTGGACCCTAGTTTGTTTTAAAATGTGGAGTGTATCTAGCCTGGAGATGTTTGACTGCCCATCTGTGTGATGAGTTTGCAGGGCACTTCCAACCTTACTGTGGTAAGGTTGAGGAGTGCTGTGTGAGCAGCAGGAGTGAAGTGTTGGTGACCCTGAGTGACAAACAGCAAACACAAACGCCTTTTGAATAAAAACAACGTATTTTAACTCCGCAACCAGAATTTCCAGACTCGGGACAAGCCTGTCCCACCTCCCTTGGCCTGGGCTGGCTCTCTTGGTGCCCGCAGGGCAGTGCCGGGTTCTGTGGTGCCGTGTCCCCTCTGCCAGGCTCTGCACTGTCCCCAGAGGTGGGGGGGGTGCATTAGGGTGTTGGCAGGTTCCTGACAGCTCCTCAGCTCAGTCCCAGCAGTTGCAGCCCAGCGTTGCAGTGCGTCAGGAACAGGATGTGCAGCTTTGCAGGATGTGCTCATGCATTAATCATTTGGGCCTCATGCATGTTTTAAGCTGTCACGAGGTGTGCGGGAAGTTACCTCAGCTTTTGGTCCACAGGCACAGCTGAAGGAATGAGGGATGAGGTGATAACGTTTCCTTTCATAATTCTGCTCATTTTCCATGCTCAAAGGTTTGATCTTGGGTTTTTTTTCTTGTATGACATGTCAGCTTTCATTTATAAGATTTATAAGGCTTTTAAAAAGTCCTGCTTCATGGTTCTCCTACATATTTTTCTCAGATAGGTGTCCTCAGCCTTTGGAGTGACAGAAAATGGGATGGGAGAGCTAAATTTGATGGCTGTTAATTGAAAACACCTGTATTTAATTTTTAAGGCCTTAACCAAATAAAACACGATAACGATCTTTTGCTGTAATCACACCTAAATGTTCTGGGTAATGAGAGCAGAGATGTTTGGGATAGAAGGATTGCTGAAATTAGAAGGGAAAATGCCAGCAGTAAAAACATTTTGGAGAGAATTTTAATGCGACCTAGAAGACTACATGACAATTTAAGTCTGACAGATATTTGGGGTGTAAGTGCCTCTATGTAAATTGATCTGCTTTCAGCATTTGCAATCCTAGTGCTGTTTTTTCAGCCTAAGCAATTTATTCTCAACTTTCTATTTTAAGAAGTCCTTTGTTTTACTCTGAGCTTTGACTTTTGTGTGAAAGGAAAGTATCCAAAGGGTTTCACATGTGCCTCTTGCTTCCTGCTGAGGCTGTTAATGAAGAGAAGTAAAACTGCTGACTAACACCTCTCATACTGCTGGAGGTGTGAGGGCTCTCACAGAACAAATGCAACATCACCTCTCCTTGAGCAAAGGTGCTTGTAGGCTGAATAGAGACTCAGCCTAAACTTTGGACACTTTCTGTTATAAATGTGCTTCTTAGAAGGAAAACAAAATCAGAAAATGCTGCACTGAGTGAAGAGAGGAAACTGCAGTATGACTTCAGAGAGGAAAACCTCATAACGATGTTACTGAGGCAACTGATATCCTCTGGTGGAAACAGCATTTGCTGCCCAAAGAGGGGGATGATGTCATGTTTCAGTGCAGGTTTGCTCAGTTGTGTTTCTTAAAGTCAAAATGGAGATAATTTCCCTGTCCTTAATAGCAGTGTACAGCAGTTTGTGATCTGCCTTTCCTGGTGGCACCCAGCACTGCACCTCTGGGAGCCTGAGCAGCATTCCTGACTCTTGGGAGCATAAACAAAGGCTGCAGGATCCACTGAGTTCTCCCTTGGCCAGGATGAAGTAACCTACTGTTTATTTCAGATATTTATTTTTTTAAGCGTGGAGCTCTAAACATTTATGTCTCTCAAGTCTTCCCGTTGAATTCCGTAGGTTTTATGCCAAAGTTGTAAATTGGTTTTAGCTCTTCCACACTGTGAGAGAACTGGGGCATGAGATGTGAATACGTGTGGGACTAGAACACTTTGCATTTGTTGCCGAGGAGGAATGTATCGAGTTGTGACCGTTCCTCCACAAACACTGCAAGGCAGAGCTGGTTCCCGTCCTCTGGCTGTAGTGCCACCCCTGGGCTGGAGCCGCTGCACTGATTTTTATTGTGTCTTGTTTATCTCATTGCAAGGCTTTTAAAAAATAATGCCTTTTCTGAGCAGCGAGTGGGCGTTTGTTTTGGTTTGTGCAGGAGACAATAGACGCTCATTTATTTTTCATGGTGGTTGGGTCAAGAGTTGAGCCATTTGCCTTTACCTCAGAGAGCTTATCAGGAGTTTGTGTAGCTACTGTTGTCTTCCTGAAATATGTGGGCAGATGTGGATGTTATTTTATTTTCCTTAGTGCCAGAATGGCGAGTCCTCACATTAAAGCCTTGTCTGAGCCCCTGCTGAGACAGCACCTCCGACCCGAGCTCAGGACCCGGTGTAAGAGTCCTGGTGACTTTGGAGTTACACTGTTATTATTTGGTAATAGTAAATTACGGGTTGGGAAGTATCAGTGATTAAATTGTCAACTTCTCTGAACTCTGGCACCTCTAATGCAGAGTCAGAATACTATAATAACTTTTGGTATGTGCTGCTTGTTGAAGAAATTCAGCCTTGTGCTGTGTATTGTGTGTCAATCAAAGTGTCCTATCCCTTCGGTTCTGTCTGTTAATGGGATCTTTTTTCAGTTTGTGTATTTTGTTATGAAGTTCTCAATGGAGAATTGCTGCAGGCTGTGCAGAGATTGGAGCTGAGCTGGTTGATGGTCAGGGAAGAGCAGCCAGTGTAGTGTGGGGTTCAAATTTGGTGCTGCTCCTCACACACAGAGTTCATGGATGTTGACAGGAGCAAAGGACTGCAGGCATTCCAAATTATAGGGTATTTAGTGAGCTGTAATAAAGCTTTGTGTACACAAGAAAATGACTCTGGCAACGAAAATTCATTGGCTTCTGAGCTAGTAAGTCATGTCTTAATTAGTAAACCAAGGCACAGCTTGTCTTAGGTCATACTGTCGTGTGCACAGATATATAGTTACTGAGAGGGCAGTGAGAATTATCAGCAAGGCAGGATCTGGATATAAATCTTGTCTCTTTGTGCTTCTTGACTGGTTAAAGGGTGGTCTCTGGGAAGGGAATCAGTGGGACTGAAACGCCGAGCCTGGAATTTTGCTTAGTGCAGCAAGCAGGACAATAATGTGTTTCAGAGGAAATGAATTGAGAAGTATAACATGGAGGGCAAAGGACATACAGGAAAGTTTTCTTAAAAGGGTAAACAGCAGTGATACCAGTCTGTGCACGCTGAGTGTTTTTGTAAATGTATTTTTTTAAAGTGCTTTTAATTCTGCAGGCGCAGGGAAGAGTCAGGGCTGTGATGTGAGATGTGTCCCTGAGCATTTGGGACGCAGCAGGGAGGGGTGTGCAAATGTATTGATTGTGAATGGGAAAGCTGCTGTCTGGAGCTGGGCTGTCTCAAAAGATGAACAGTTGTGTGAAGGCTCTGAATAACAAACAGTTCTGCTTGTCAGTTGTGCTAGAAAATTGCTGGCATATTTGCATTGTTTCTGTAACATTCATGGGAGGGGGGGAAGAAACCAGCAGCTTTGGACCCATGTACTTCAGCAAGAACATGTTTCTTCTAGCCTTCAGTTTTTATTTACATGGTTTGTGTGAACTTTAGTGATTTCTAAAAGTCCATACAATAATTTAAGGGGTTATTTAGACTAATCAAACACAGCGTTCAAGCACTGTCAAGAGTAAAAGATGTGTCATAGCTGAAAAAGCCAAGTGAGCCATGTGGCAAACAACACTATTGAATGTCCTCTGAAGGTCTCCATTTCTCCTCAGGGTTACACAAATTATCACAGAGTGTTTATGCCTGTAATATTAAACAGCTCTAATGTGATCAGTAGTGAGATAGCTCCTTCAAATGGTTGACCTCAAAACTCCCTGGCTGTCTCCCACTGCATCTCTAAGTTCCTGTGAGTTGTGAAAACGTCCCTTGATCAGCCCTTGCTGTGGAACACGGACCTGGGACTTGCATTAGGAAAAAAACGCTGTATTTTTTACTAAGGGTACAAGGCTGATTCATCAGACGAGCCTGGAGAAAAGCATTGATTGCTGCCCCACATCCCCTCCTGCTTCCTCAGCCTGCTGCTGTCTTACACTGAACAAACCTTGGGGAGGGCCAGAATCCATCTGGTGGCTTTTGTGGTCTGAAAACATTACTGAGCACATTAAGATGGTCTCTAAAAATAGTGCTGGGTTATGAGAAAGCAAAGGAACACTCCCCTGAAGGTAAATGAACACACCAAACACAAATATAGCAATGCTGGGAGGTAGAACCTGAACGTTCACTCAGATCCCGAGAAGTATTGGAGCTCTTCACCCCTGGTGGCACCGAAACGGGGTGCCCAGACAGAAGCAAGATGCTTGAATATCTGTGCCCCTGCAGTGCTCTGAATGAAGTCACTGTCATTGTTTGAGAATTTTACATAACCTGAAGTTCAATTTTGAATTTTAGGTTTTTTGCGGTGTCACTAAGTCCATAAAGGAAACATGACAACAAAGTATTCCAACAATGTTTTTTTTCCTAACCAGCTCTCCAAGCACCAAGACCAAAGGCTCTTCAGTCTTAACTGAACAGCAGAAGGTGCCAGAATCTATGTCTCCTCTGTAAATGACCTTTTGATTTATTCCTGTTGTTGGATCACCTGGTCTGCGCTCCACTCCGTAATGCTGAATGCTACATTCTCACCACTTACAACCATAGCACGTGCAAATATTTTGGACAACCAGGAGGACAAAAGCATCCTGAACTTTTATTAAAATAAGTGCTACTTCCAGCATGAAGCCACTGGGATTTGTGTTTTTTACCTTCCCCGTGAATGGAATAAACCTGGACGATTTTGTCCCTTTTGAGCGTACTGGAATGTTGTATTCAGCCTGGTAAAAATGAATTGCTGGATTGCCTGGGAGCATGGAAGTGGCTGATCAGACTCTAGGAAGCGTGGATCTCATGGTTTTATCCTGTCAAGTCACTTCATCATCCTGGCTTTGTCCAGAATGGGTTGGACAGCGTTGGCTCCTTGTATTGATCACAGAACTGCAAGTACATCCAGCTGCAGACCCCTGGAATACTGACAAGATGGTTGGGGAAGTCCAGAAAGAGATGTAACACAACAGGGTTTGCTTGTCCCACATTCCTGGTAATTCTACAACAGCCCCAAATCAGCAAAGTGCATTCATTGTACTTAAAGGACAAGTCAAGGCTTATCAACTGGAAACGTGTCCTTCAGGCCCTGAAGCCACGAGTCATTTTCCTGGGCCACATGTCCTACTCCACCTCTCTTGCTCCATGGTGTTTTCACTTGATTTTACTTTTTAACTGACAAACCCAACAGTTGATTCTGGTAGCAGTTTGGAAAATGGAGATTTGAAGGATTAGTGAAGAATGTTTGACTGAGAATTTCTGTTGGTGTTGAGAGCAAAATACCTGTTGAATTTATCTACACGGAAAGTTCTGTAGTTTAAATGTAGCAAACCTTGGCTGTGTCTGCCTTGTGCTTAGTAGGGATGCACTTGGCACATGGATTTTTCAGTCAACTGACGTTAGATATTAGTCCTGCCTGTAGGATTTTTGGATATTCATTGTCCTCATTGCAAGGGAAACGGGATATTGCCTGTGAAGATGCAGTCAGGTGACAGCCTGGGGAGTAAGAGGCTCTGGAAGCTCTTGGGAAAGGATCTATAATGGAAGATGAAGTGACAAGTAGATCTCCACTTCTGGATGAGAAAAATCCAGATAGTGTTTATATTCTGTTTACTAGGAAGTGCTGTTTCCCAGGAAACCAGGAACATTTTAATTGCAAACACTGAGCCTTCCTGGACTGGGTTTTTGCCCCTCAGTGTGGTACTCAGGTGTGAGAGGCTGACAGTGTGGAGGGGTGAGATTTTGGGGGTAGATAAGCCATGGTTTGGTTTCATTGCAGGCAAGTTTGCTAATGCCTGTTCCCATAGGACGGGAGATCTGAGCATCCTCTGCCTCCTCATGGCTCAGGGGGCTCCCTCCCCCTGTGCTGTGGCACCACTGCCGTGGAATCATCTGATCCTGTGTCCTGCATTGTATCAGATCTGGCAGCCAGCACAATAAATGGTCAGTGATACCTGTCTGATGTGTCTGTGGCGTGTTTAAGTTCTGCTGATTTTGTGGACAGAGGGAAAGACTGAAAATCTGTAACATGTTGGTCTTCAGACTAAACCTATTTATGCACCTTCTGGAAACTGCCTTTGCAGCACGGCCCTTCTTTTTGGGCCCAGTCTGTTGGGTCAAAACCTTCGTGCTGCAGAAACTTCTTTCTTTCTGAGTTTCAGTGAGCCCTGTGAGCTTCTGAAAGGTCCAAGGCAAGGCTGTGACCTCAGGGGTGGGGACCGAGGTACCTACAGGAGAGGAGGATGGTGCTGCTTTTCTTTGCTGCCTCGGTTGCCATGGAAAGCAACCAGAAAGTCTTGTCCTTGCTCCAGGTTGTAACGGGGAGGTAACGGAGCCTCCGGGGCTTTGGGATTGGCTGGAGTGACTGTGAGGAGAGAAAGCAGCCCTGACCAGAGGGCCTGGGCTTTTCAGCTGCACGTGGAGTAACTCACAGTGCCTCTGGCCCTGGAGATCTCCCGCGTGTTCCGTGGGATGACATCAACGTGTGGGACATGGACTGACGCGCGTGAACTCTGCCCTGGTGGCCAGGACAAATGTCTTTGTGAAGGCAAGACCTTTGGGGGGTGTGAAGAGCTCTGGATGTGCTGTGGCCCTGAGTAAATGCCTGGGTACTACCTGGAGCTTTTTATCAATAGTTCTGAAAACAGCGTGCCGACAACGCAAATATTGTCATTGTCACCCCGAGTGGGAACAGCTAAACAAATGACAAGACAGGATTCAGCAGCCTCAAATCACTAAACCTTACATGCAGCTTTCCTGAGTGTTTGCTGCTGATTATTCTGTTGCATCATGCCAGTTTTTTAACAGCTTTATTCCTGGGTTAGTCTGTTTTGAGTGTGGTGTAAAAACGGGCTGACGTTACTCACGCCTAGAAAACACCTTTGTGAACAACCAGCTTGATACAAACATTTTCAATGTGTTTCCTTTCAAAATCAACTTTTAAGGCAATGTTTCCTTCCTTCCTGAGTTTCCTGAATTGTGCTAAGCCGACCAGTGGGAAACAAAGCTATTTTTAATTCTCTTTTGTGTGCGTGCTGCAGTCCTATTAGAAGCTGTTAATGTGCCTTTTGCATTTACAGGCGGGCTTGAAAGTGTCCTTGCACAGAAAGCCATGAATCCGCAGCTGAAGTGCTCTGATGGCTTTACTAGAGGAAGCTTTATCTTAATGTCTTGTTTTTACTGTTGCAGAACAGTTGTGTAGCTGGAGCTGTCTTGGGAAATCAGGATGCTGGTAGGACTGAGAGGCATGGGCAGCTATCAGCCGAGGATTCCAGGCTGCCAACTGGTACCATTCAAAGGGGTATTCACCTTTCATCAGAGTAAAATTTAAAACTGAACATTCCAGAGCTTAAAAGCCCGAGAAGGGTGTTTTGGCAGGGTGGTCACTGGCCCTTGGTGTCCATCAGTGGTTGTGAGCACAGTCACTGCAGTTCCAGCAGCTCCTGCCGTGCCAGGCAGCCGGGCTTTAACCAGGCTTTAACCAGGCTTTAACCAGGCTTTAACCAGGCTTTAACCAGGCTTTAACGGCCCTGCTCTGCTCAGATGGGCTCTGAGCACGGCTTAACGGCCCGATCTGAGCCCAGCTTTACAGACACATTAGCACCGGGCCTGCTGTCATTATAAACTAGAGCACACACCAGGTTGTGTGACCTGAGCATGATTTAGCAACCCGTTAGTCTTTTAATTATCTCCTTCCTAATTAGATTGCTGGGATTACTTGGTACTTGAAATAAGTGCATATCTTTAACTTCTCAGGGCAGTAAAGTGGAAAAAATTCATTGCTTTTCATTTTACAGGCATTTTGTCTTTCGGGCTGAAGTGCAGCAACATATGGTGCTACTTCTGAGGTAGCACTTGTCAAAATATCTTTGCTTGTAAAGTTTTCTACAGAGCCATATAATTTTCTCCTGTAAAAGCATTCCTAATGTATTTCACTGATTTTTATAGCTACAGCACAGGACTTGTCACGCTTCTGTCATTGCAAATTTTTAGTGGATGGAGGTCAAGAAATTAAATTGAACCCCAAATAAGAACAATGGGCAACAAGTAGTTAGAAATCTGAAGAAGTAAAGTAAGAGTGATAATTGTGTAAAAAAATAAAAACAGTTTATCAAAACACTTCCCAGGTATTTTGAAAGGGTCAAAGCAGTAGTTTTATTTCAAAGCTGAACTCTTGGGATATCACTGACAGTCAGTGGACATGGAATCCTCTAATGCAGTGTCCAGAACCCTCACGTGGTGGTTGGTCACATCTCTGTTTGTGTGCAGTCTGGTGCTCACAATTCCCAGGTGATGCTGTTCCTCCTGCCCGAGCCATGGGAAGCTGGAGCCATGAGCAGGCACTGAAAATGTAAACCAGCAGCACATTCATCTATATACAATGAGGGGAAACTGGAAACGTGTCTGAGTCTGAAGAGCTGGAAAAGGGAGAGGAGGAGAATAACTGGAATATTCTGTATATTTTTGTCTCCATTGCTGGACTGGTACCCAGTGTGAGAGATGATTAGTGAGAGGCTAATTGGCCTGTTAAATACACTTCTCCAGAAGTGTGGTCCCCTGAAGTGCAGGAGGTTGCCAGGGCAGGGCATGTGCTGGGCATCACCCCCAGGACCTGTCACTGCTCTGAGAAATGCCCTTTCTCAGAAGGGGGATGTTCTTCAGGACTTGCATGTTCCCACCGAGTTCAGGGGCTTCAAGAAGCAGGGTGGGTTTAAGTGGTGTCTTAAAACAGGAGCTGGGGCTTGGAGATGTATTTCAGGGGAGGAGCAAGGAGCTGCCCTGGCAGAGCTCCCTCCCTGGGAGGGACAGAGGGAGCAGCCAGTGCACAATTGCTGGAAGTGGAAGGGAAGGAGAAGGACGGACTGAACAGGATCTGCTTTCTCCTCTCTCCTGCCGTGGGTTCAGAAGCTGACTGGCACCTCTAGGGAAACATCCCTGGGATGTGGAGATGGCTCTCGTGGCTGTGTTTGAGGCTGAGGGACTGGGGTCACACCCAGTGAGCACAGGCAGTAGAGCTGGGCAGAAAAGAGCTTCTGAGGGCCTTGGAGGGAAAGAAAGTAGCTGTGGTTTGACAGTCAGGGTTAATCAAGGAATGAACAGGCTGTAAAGTGAAGGGCTTGGAAAAAAAGTCTGAGGAAGGGAAAATGTCATAATCCAGTTACTCAAAGTTGGATTGTGTTGAATTTGCCCTGCTTTTGAGGAGTATCCCTGCTTCCAGAAGATGGAGGAGTGGGAGAGCAGGATCAGATTGCAGGGCAACCACAGCTCCAGCATCCAAATGTGCAATGGCAGGAAATGCTGTAGGTAGTGACTGCTTGCATGTCACCTCTGTGAGGGTGCAGGGGCTCGAGGGGTTTGTGCCTGACTCTGTAGCTGTTCAGTCAGTGCAGGTATCAGTTGGTGTCCTGCCCACCTCTCTCTGCTCTCAGGTGAAACCAGGACATTTGTCACAGTGTCACCCTTGTGTGGTGCTGATCCTGCCCAGCTCCCAGTGGCTGCTCAGCGTTTTTACTTCTGTAGCACCTCTGAGCTCCCCATGGCTTTTGGTGTCTTGAGCCCTGGAGGGACCTGCTGCCAGTCTTCCCTTGTGATTGGGAATGGAGGTCTGGCAATCCTGAGAGTGGATGGTGTAGAAATCCGAATTTCTCTTTGTATGCCCTCCCCTCCCCTGCAGAGTTTTCTCTAAAGCAGGAGTCTTCCTCTCTGTACTGGAAGGCAGAAGTCTTTTGTTATGAAATATTTAATGTTTCAAACAACTGCTGCCACGACATTGTTCAATAGTCTGTGTTAGTTGTACTCTGCTGCTAAGTCTGAGCTTTCCTATTTAAAAAGGGGAAAGCAAAACATGTTTTCTATGCACTTTATACTAAATTAGTCTTAATGATTTCTGAAAATCGTTACTGCGAGTCCTTTGATTATTGTTGCTGGTGAAAAAGAAATTACATTAAAAACCAGCTAAAACTCTAATGTGAGATTAAAATCCACAGTGCTGGTACTGTTGACCAGAATCCTCGAAAAGGGATCTGGGAGTTCCTCCTGGTTCCTGCTCTTAGTCCCTGTTGGAATGCCAGAGAGCCACCAGGTGAGTGTGGCACAGGAAGTTCCTGGCACGAGGAAGTTCCTACAGGTGCCTGAGCTTCTCAAGCTTAAGAGCTTGAAAAAAAGATCTCAGCTAGGCTGGATGGGGAAAGAGTCTGCTGGCTCACTGTATGTGTGACCATACCTGGCAGCAGTTAATTTAGGGGCCACCTGTCTCGTTTAATTCCAATAGGCACTGTTCACTCAGCTGCACAAATAGGGCTGTCCATCTGCACACCCATTATCAGACCAGATTAATCAAAGGCACTGCATTCACTGCAGTTACAGAGGCTGCCATGCACTGCTTGATAATCATTTAATTATATGTTACATAGACAGAAAGCACCGTATAACTTGCATGTTAACCTGCAATTTTTGCATCAAACATGAGTTTTTGTTTTGTTTTGTTTTTTGTTTCATCATTATCAAGTCATTTGGCTAAATAGCCTTACAAAGGTAGGAGGTTTGAAAGATGTATTGAGGAATTTGTAATGCTTAGTTTTAACCTTAGGACCGTTCCTAACTATAACCTTAAGTGTCTTTAATCTCTCCATTTGTCTAAATGATAATTGTGATAAATTTACCATGAATCAAAGGTACTGTGAGATATTTCATGGTAAGGTGCACCCCCTTCCTTCCATGCTTTTCTACAGAACCCCAGGTTGGATGTGCAGCTGCTTTGGGGAAATTCCAGACCTGTTTCAGAGGGATAGGGCAGTGCAAGGAGGTGCTCAGTGTGGTGATGTAGAGCTTATATTGCAGCTGTACCAACAAGCTCCATCCTCAGATCCACAGGCTGTCTGAGATTCAACAGTAAGAGGGAAAATTGAATTATGACAAGTGTTGCCAATCCATTACTGTACCCAGGGCAGGGAATTAGACCTGCTCTCTGCAATAAATGAGTATCCTGGAAGTCTGAGAGCCGTCCTTGCCATGCTCCAGGCTCTGCCTGCTGCTACAACAGGGTGTGAGCAGCACTTGAGCTGTTCTGTCACAATCCGTGATTCCATTTCTGGAGACTGGAATCATTCTTTGTTTCCTTCTGCCATGGCTTGGGTGACAGTGCAGGGCCAGCAGTGTTTGCCTGCTAAAGAGACACACTGCTCACTGTTCTCCTTGAAAATGCAGATTTTAGCCACTGACACGTTAAAAATCACGATTACTGTGTGATCTTGGCTGCGGTTTGGAGCTTTTTTTTCTCTAAAGGAATTGCATTTCACTGATTTGTAGCAAGACAGAACTAGATGGAGAAGTGGGATGGTTGAAGTTGTGGGGAGGGAGAAGTCCAGGATTGTGCAGCCCTTGGCTGAGGTTCTGCTGTTTTGCATTTATTCCTCTGTTCATCCCAGGAACAGACCTGTTGGAATGGTGAGCCCAGAATCCCGAGGGTAAATCAGCAACACTCTCTGGATTCATTAAGGTACCTTAGCACTGTTCTGGGCCGTAAAGGTCTGACTGAAAAGAGCAGAGACAACTCTTCCCTTAAACCTTTGCTTCCCACCCCAGCTGAAGTGTGAAGGATCAGTGTGTGCAAAGTGAGGGAAGCAGGCGTGGTTGGGACAAAACCTTGGCACAGCTGGCCACAGGTGGAACATCCTTTAGAACATTAACAGGGGAGAAAAGCACTGGCTGGTAAAGAAGGGACAGAGGGACTTGGCAAATGCTTAAATGTCTTTAATTTCTTTTTTGGTGGGGAGGAG